ACTATTCCTCCTACTGACACAACTGGGCACTATTCCTCCCATTTACACCAATGGAGGGGTGCTATTCTTCCCCCTAATACCAAAGATGAGTTGTTTACTCACACTGATACCAGAACAATATCTACTACCAATGGCCACAATCCGGCTCCCCAAAAATCTGATGAACAGTAAACTGGCCCTATGTTTAGAAAGTTTGGAGACCCCTGTCTTATGGCATCCTACGGAACCACTCATGTATGCAGAAATTAAAGTTGTGTCTCCCTACACTGTGTGCATCAAAAGAAACACACAGCCCTATAGCCTAAGATTGCAAGGCGCTCCCCTGCTCACCCCCCCCATCCTTCTCTAAACTAACAGAATTATTGGAGACTGCGCTGTACATTGTTAATTCTTGTGAAGACTGAAGGTTTAGGGAAGCAGCACTGAGAGAGCAGGACTGAAAGTTTAAACTGCAGGTGCTGGGTTAAGAATTATAACAAATAGTTTAAAGGGGATTGTTTATGTTTTGTGCTCAGTGTATTAAGATAAAAAAAGATTTTGAGACTTTAATACTACTTTAACTTAGTCTGCAGACATACATAGTCATAATTGTCATCTCCTGATGTTGTAACTTTACCAGATATTGAAACCACGAGTTGGGGATTAACCATGGCTAGGCAGCTAATCTGTCATCTAATGCTTTGTTGACGATAACAGATTACGCGTTCTAGAACAGGAAGGTGAGCAATGATTTAGTAGACACAAAATCCCGGCCCTAGAGGCAGTAATTAACTGTCACACCAATGGCTAGGAGAATGTAAGCTGTAATGGTTACAGCTTTCCCCGTGAATTAGTAATTTAGAATAAAGTGTGACAAGCCACTTCTCTGGTCATAGACAGGAGTTGTTATATATTTACCAATTTCTAATAAATAGCTCATAGTAGTTACACATCCACATTTCACAATATTTCTGTACTGCACCTTGTGTATTACAACTTCCTACGTACTGTACTTTTATCTAAACACATAATCTGTAGGCCACTCCTTTCACTGTTTCCTTTTGCAGGCATATCACTGTGTTTGTAACAAGCACATCTGACAAAGCATCCACATATACTCACTGGCCACTTTATTATAGACACCTTGCTAGAACCCTCTTTTGCCTTCAGATCTGCCTTAATTCATTGTGGCATGGGTTCAACAAGGTGTTGGAGACAGTCCTCAGATTTTTGGTCCTTATTGACATGATAGCATCACACAGCTGCTGCAGATTTGTCAGCTGCACATCCATGATGTAAATCTCCCGTTCCACCACATCCCAAAGGTTCTCAATTGGATTAAGATCTGGTGACTGTGGAGGCCACTGGAATACAGTGAACTCATGTTCAAGAAATCAGTTTGAGATGATTTGAGCTTTGTGGCATGGTGCTTTATCCTGCTGAAAGTAGCCATCAGAAGATAGGCACACTGTAGTCATAAATGGATCAGCAACAATAGTCAAGTAGGCCGTAGCATTTAAACAATGCTCAACTGATATTGAGGGGCCCAAAGTGTGCCAAGACAATATCCCCCAGACCATTACACCACCAGCCTGAACCATTGATACAAGGCAGGATGGACTCATGCTTTCATGTTGTTTACACCTAATTCTGACCCTACCATCTGAATGTTGCATCTGCAATCAAGACTCATCAGCTTAGGCAACATTTTTCCAATCTTCTATTGTAAAATTTTGGAAAGCCTGTGCGAATTGTAGCCTCTGTTTCCTGTTCTTAGCTGACATGAGTGGCACCCGTTGTGGTCTTCTGCTGGTGTAGCCCATCTGCTTCAAGGTTCGACGTGTTGTGCGTTCAGAGAACGGTTGTATGAGTGGTTCTTTGCGTTACTGTTGCCTTTCTATCATCTCAAACCAGTCTGCCCATTCTCCTCTGACATCAACAAGGCATTTTCATCCACACAACTGCCACTTACTGTATATTTTCTCTTCTTCGGACCATTCTCTGTAAACACTTCTCTGTAAACTCTAGAGATGGTTGTACGTGAAAATCCCAGTAGATCAGCAGTTTTTGCAATACTCAGACCAGCCCATCTGGCACCAACAACCATGCCATGTTCAAATTCACTTAAATTCTCTTTTCTTCCCCATTCTGATGCTAGGTTTGAACTTAAGCAAGTCATCTTCACCACATCTAGATGCCTAAATGCATTGAGTTGCTGCCATGTGAACGGCTGATTAGCAATTTGTGTTACTAAGCAATTGAACAGATGTACCTCGGTGAGTGTATACATCATGGGTTTGTCACTTTGAGGTGCCTGTTATCAGAAGACAGCCATACACTATATAGAATGCAAAAGGAATAATCCAAGAGTTGCTGGGACTTCAGTGCCTATTAATCTATAATAGCAAACAGAAAAAGACAGAGCTAACTGGCTCTGGTTAAGTGGCTCACATGCAACCAGGCCTACCCTCCAGTGGGTAGCCAGGAATGTCACTCAAAGCTTAAAGCAAAAGAAGGGGTGCCAGAGCAAGTTCATAAAAGATTCCAGAAAAGCTTTAATGATTCACAAAACAGCAATGCATTTTGGGGGCAAACCCACTCCCCATTTCTCAGGGCTCAGTAATATTTTCAGTGTTTAAAGGTAGTGGTGACTTGACCTTCCAAAGATGCATCTGTAAGGCTAATGCTACGTTACCACTGCTTCAGGGAAACCAAGAAGTGAAAATGGAAACAGGTAAGTAAAAGCCAAAAAATGAACGGTAATTTAAAGTAAAACTACAGCAAAAGCTTGTTTTTCCATTTTGGAGTAAGGGAGGATTATAACCCCAATTGTGTTGCCATCAATGTCAATTGCCATCAATTGTGTTGCCATCTGTTTCCCATTGTGAAGATTTCCCTTCACTTCCTGTTACATACACAAAACAGGAAGTGAAGAAGTCCCACCAAAATTAGAGAATCCCTGGTTTTCCCCAGGGTCACCAGAACTAGTGTTCCCATCGGAATATTTTGCCTCTAATCCTGTTCTGGTGACAATCCAAAATCTGGGATTTTCTTTTACCCTCACTTTCTATGATATTAATAAATAGGACAAAGAGACAGGGTGCATCTCCTTTACCAGGATACAGGGAGCAATAACAATCTGACAGGTGTTCTAATCCCTCTCCACTCCATCCAACTAAAAAAAAAAATACTTTTGCCTTTATTTATACTTTAAGTTTTGGATATAGTAGAGGAGGGTTGTTATGGACCCGCCTCCTGGAGGGATGTCATCATGGCGGCCTGAGCTCTGAGTATTATTGCACTGAGTGGCGGTCACAATGCATCACATGAGCACCCCTCTTGGGATAGAGAAGCACCCACCACTACCACTGAAGAGGAAAGGGTCCTCTGACCAATCTGTGTCATCATTGGATTGACCAGAGGGCCCCTGGAGAGAAGGTGTTTTAGGTGTGGGGTGAAAACCAGAGTTTAGATTAAAAAAAAAAGAAAAATTCCTTATACTTTCTACTGTACCATTGACTACCTGTAACCAGAAAAGGGGAAACCTCTCTAACAGGGACATAGCCAGGATTAAAAACTCAACAGCAGATCTAAATCTTCTCCATTCTATTATAAAAGTAACATGCTTTGGCTGGGGTTTACACACATCAGCCAAAATTACTTTACTCATGGATTTTCTATTCACTTTTGAGTGATGTAGACCTTGGCAAATCCCAAGGAAGTTTGCAAACAATTTTTGGTGGGTAAATAAAGGATTCCAAGAAATATTTGGCAGCAACCCATAGTAATCATATTAGTTGCAGACAATGCTATGCGGTTTATAGAGGATGTTATGTGATTGTTTTTCAAATGGAACATTTGGTGACGCTACAGACACTCCCACATTTACTACAGTCTGATTGAATTCCTCTGCTGCTTGTCTGTGTGTAACCTCCTTTAGAGGCAAGGGTGTCCAATCCACCCTACAGCTCTAATCATTTCACATTCCGTAATATACAAAGAACCTAGCTTGGTGCCCAAAAACCCTGCTGCTTTGCTAGGGGAGTTTCAACTCCTGGCGTATTGTTTTCAACCTCACTAAAATTTCAACATATTAATGTGTTTTTTATTAAATGAAATGAAGCTGTGAGGAAGTGTAGCACGACTTAAACAATTGGGTATTATTTTTAACAGCTTGAACATGTATCTAAACCAGGGGCGGACTGACAACTCATGGGGCCCCTGGGCTATAGGGGATCATGGGGCCCCTGTGTCCTTGCCCACACCCAAAAAAGCCTATGAAAAAGCCAATGAAAGGTACCAGGAGCATCTCATGGGGCCCCCTACTGACCCTGGGCCCTCGGGCAGTGCTTGAATGGTCAGTCCACCCCTGATCTAAACCCAAATTGTTTTACAATTTTTTTTTAAGCACCAAAAGTGACTGAAATTCCACAATTTTGACTTGTCACCAGAAGATCAATAGAGGGCAGGCCTACTATTTGGTTCACTTGTTCAAGTGACAACTTTCTGAGAAGAGATATTTCTCACTTCCAGTTGTGCCTACAGGTGGCAAAGGAAACCTACAGCCGTTGTAACCATTCCCTACTGTATCCAAAAGTGAAAAAAATATTTTTGCTTTGGATATACTTTAAAGCTTTGTTAAGTTTGCATCTCTAAATGCCCACCACTACTATCTGCCTGGGCATGACGATGATCCAATGACTTCACTGCTTTCTAGGTTACAGAACCAGAGCAATCATGCAGCAGGTGAAGTAAGTACTTCTAATCTACATACATGTTCCAGGTCAATATCTCAGAATGTCTAAAGCAATTAGATTAGCAGGGACAAACCACTAGCATCTTCACAAATATTAGTCAGTGCAGGCAGCCACCATATTATTTTAGCAAATGTTTCCATTTAAAGTGGACTTATCAGTTTCCCAAGCATATAAACATTTTGATGTCTTCACCATGTGCTCTATCAGCATGTTCACATACACAGTTGTAGTTTGGGCTGTATTCATTAAAATTTTTTACCTTACCTGAGCACATCTCGCCCTTGTACCGCAGACAGGAGAAGTCATCACATTCACAGTATTTCCCCCACACTTTGCCGAAGTCATTGGTGTGACAAATGCATTGGCCACACACACACTCTCCTCTCCGGGAACAGAGGATGCCTTTGTCTTTTTGGCTGCAGCGGTCTTGTTGTGAGGGATCATACTCCTCCTCGGAGCATTCACAGCGTGGTCCCAACCAGCCTGAGTAACACTGACAGATTCCACAACTGAGGGTCCCATTTCCCATATTACATGAATTGCTATTTTGCTCATCATGCTGCTGACAGTTACAGTCACACTGGAAATGTACAGTCACAGTCAGGGAATCTTTAAACCCCACAGGTTTGATGGTAAATGTCTTCACCCTCTCTGCGGGGCAGCCTCGAACTTTGGCTTCAATGGAAAAACTCACCTGCAAGATTAAATACGGTTGGTCAGCACACTGGAAAAAAGCCACGGGACTACTGCAAACAAATTGGTGTTACATTGCATTTTGAAGAATAACTTTTAACTATCCCTTTCAGCTCTTGAGTTTCATTAAAGGTAAAATTGCACCTTTTTCAGTTGGTATAAAGCCCCCTACAGTCTCAAACAACAGTTAACACAGAGGAATGCACAGGTATTTATTGAATTAACTTAGTCATCAAGGTTTGGCCTTGTGACGTCAGGGACCCAGGAGAAACTATAACCTCTACACCAGGGGTGTTAAACTCAATTTCATCATGGGCTGCATCAGCATTATGGTTGCCCTCAAAGAGCCGATTGTATCTGTAAGACTAAATGTCCAGATCACCCTGACCCCCTTACATCAGAAGTCAAAAACCACCTACCATCAGAAGTCAAGTTTCCCTCCTTCCCTTACATCACAGTGCACTCCCTTACCTTGTGCTGCTGCTGCTGGGAAGAAGCTGGGGGTGGACCTGGAAAGCAGAAAGTGCAGGGTCTGGAGGAGGACCAGAGGAGGGGTGGAATCAGCTGCCAGAGTCTGCTGATGTCAAGGTCCTACCTTTTCCCTGAGGTTATGTTACTCCATGCGTTGGCGTCCATCTTGGATTCTGCTGTGCATAATGGGAATCCTTTTATGCCTTCAGGTTTCTGTGGTCCATCCCCCAGAGGGGTGCGGCTGATAAAATATAAGCCTGTGGCCCGCACATGCTCTTTGCACTTGTGTCTTGTGTCTTGGTGTTGCTATTACTCTGTTCTGACTCTCATGACTCTCCTGGTATCTGATTCGGCTTGTGACTTGACTATTCTTTGTATTCTCCTTTGATCTGACCCTCTGTTGCTGAACCCGGCTCGTGACCTGTGATTCTCGTCTGCTGTCCTGTACTGTTTTGTCCTGTTGTTGTTGACCCCGGCTTGTCTGACTACTCTTTTGTCTCCTCCACCAGCTACACGCCATTGGCGGCGGTCATTACCGCAGCTGAGGTGTCTCGGGGGCCGCGACCTGGTTCCTGGCTGCGTCAAGTCCATCCCCACCATCAGGAGCCCTGGTGAAGGGCAGCCTGGGACTTAGACTCCGCGCCCTAAGGGACTTCGGTCTGTGGGTTGTGGTTGTCGTCAGCCAGTGCGTTACATTGTTAGGCCTGCCTGTCCGTTCCTCAGCTCCTGCCCTGACATTACACAAGTGCCATGAACCCTGACGGTGCAGGCACGCCTTCGCTTCCAATGCTAGTCGCTAGACTCGATCAACAGGATCACCTGTTGGATCAGTTCGCTCAGGCGTTGCAAACTCTGCTTGCACGCACTGCACACCTTGCTCCTGGTGCTATTAGGCCGGTAGTCGCTCCGGTGGTCTCTCCCGCTGCTTCTTCTCCGCCTATTGCGTCCACCACCTCGACGGCTGCATCACCGGCGCCCAGAGGTATGACTGGTTCTGCCCCTCTTTCACAGCGCTTTGGGGGTGAGCCGAGTCAGTGTCGTGGGTTCCTCAACCAGGTGGGTATTTATTTTGAATTAATACACCCCACGCCTTCCCGTCTGAGAGGTCAAAGGTGGGGTTCCTAATTTCACTACTCTCAGACAAGGCCTTGGCCTGGGCAAATCCCTTATGGGAGAGGAACGACCCGGTGATTCAAGATTTTTCCAGTTTTGTCGATGCCTTCCGTAGGGTATTCGACGTACCGGCTCGTTCCGCCTCGGCGGCCAAGCTGCTCATGACCATGCATCAGGGTTCACGGACCGTGGCCGAGTACGCTATAGAGTTTCGTACCCTGGCGGCAGAGGTCGGTTGGAACAATGAGGCTCTGGTGGCTGCGTTTTCCCATGGTCTTTCTGACACATTGAAGGACGAGATTGCAGCTAAGGAACTGCCTGTGGTGTTGGAGGAGCTCATCTCTTTCCTGATCCTGATTGACACCAGGCTCAGGGAGAGGCCTTCACTCAAGGAACGCCTGCGGAGTCCTTCCAATCGACTGGCACCTGCGTTTTCTGTCCCACCCGTTCCTCCCTCTCCTCCCACGCCTCCTGGGGATAGCTTGTCTGGTGGGGAACCCATGCAGCTGGGGTTTGCTCGCCTTTCCGAGGGGGAGCGGGCCGCTCGGCGTCAGGAGGGTCGCTGCCTGTACTGTGGCCTCGGTGGGCACTTTCGGCAGTCTTGTCCGGTCCGTCCGGGAAACGCTCGCACCTGAGATCATGTCGGGGACAGATCTTGGGTGGAGTTTCCTTGTCCCCGGCGTTCCGCAAGGATAAGCCACTGATCACCGTGGTCCTTTCTTGGGCTCGGTGACGGCCCAGGCGTTGGTAGACTCTGGGGCCGGTGGGTTGTTCTTGGACAGCTCGTTTGCTGCACAGCACTCCATTCCCCTGCAGGCTCGTGCTGCCCCATTGGTTCTCGAAGCAATAGATGGCAGGCCCCTGCAACCGCCGCAGGTTACCCACGAGACTCTGCCAATAGAGGTAGCCATTGGGGCTGTTCACAGGGAGTTGGCCTGTTTTCAGGTGCTTTCTTCCCCACACTATTCGGTGGTTTTGGGGTATCCCTGGCTCCAGAGGCACAATCCAACCTTCAATTGGCAAACAGCCGAGATTCTCTCATGGTCTCCACAGTGTGGGGCCGGGTGCATCCGGGGGCCGGTTAAGGTATTGTGTGCCTCCTCGGACACTGCGTTGCCCACCGACTATGGGGAGTACCGGGACGTGTTTGATAAGGTACGCGCTGGTACCTTACCACCGCATCGTCCTTACGACTGCGCCATATCCTTGCAACCCGGGGCCACTCCTCCACGTGGCAGGGTGTACCCTCTCTCGGTTGCGGAGAATAAGGCCATGGAGGAGTACGTTGTGGATGCGCTTTCCCGGGGGCACATTCGTAAGTCTACTTCCCCAGCAGGAGCGGGTTTTTTTTTTTTCGTAAAGAAGAAGGTGGGGAATTGAGGCCCTGCATCGATTATAGGGGTCTCAATCGGATTACCATTAAAAATGCATATCCAATTCCTTTGATTTCTGAGTTGTTCGACCGCCTTAAGGGAGCAACAGTCTTTACCAAACTCGACCTTAGGGCGGCGTACAACCTCGTACGGATCAGACAGGGGGATGAGTGGAAGACCGCGTTTAACACCAGAACTGGGCACTACGAATACCTGGTGATGCCCTTCGGGATTGTGTAACGCGCCCGCGGTTCTTCAGGAATTCATAAACGATGTCCTTCGTGATTTGTTGCAGCAGTGCGTAGTGGTTTACCTGGATGACATCTTGGTTTACTCTACCTCCATGGAGTCCCATGTCCAGGATGTCAAGCAGGTGCTGCAACGATTGTGTGAGAACGGACTCTTTTGTAAACTCGAGAAGTGCGAGTTCCATCGATCCCAGGTTGCCTTTTTGGGCTACATAATTTCCGCGGAGGGATTTTCCATGGACCCTCAGAAGGTTGCGGCGGTTCTGCAGTGGCCTCGTCCCTATGGTCTTCGGCCCATTCAGCGCTTTCTGGGTTTTGCCAACTACTATCGGAAGTTCATCAGGAACTTCTCCACATTGGCAAAGCCTCTCTCTGACCTAACCAAGAAGGGGAGTAACCCTCACAAGTGGCCATCCGAGGCCATCACAGCTTTCGAGGCTCTGAAAGCTGCCTTTGCTTCGGCTCCGATTCTTTCGCATCCCAATCCTGGGTTGCCCTTCGTCCTCGAAGTTGATGCTTCCGAGACGGGAGTAGGGGCTCTCCTGGCTCAGCGTCGGTCGCCCGATGGACCCCTACTTCCCTGCGGGTTCTACTCCAGGAAGCTTTCCTTGGCTGAGTGCAACTACCAGATTGGAGATCGGGAGTTGTTGGTCATCATTCTGGCTCTCAAGGAATGGAGGCACCTGCTCGAGGGTTCCGCGGTTCCGGTCCTCATTCTTACCGATCACAAGAACCTGACTTATCTTTCGGAGGCCAAGAGATTGACACCCCGCCAGGCCAGATGGGCTCTGTTCTTGTCACGCTTCAACTATGTGGTTTCATATTTGCCTGGTTCCAAGAATGTCAGGGCTGATGCGTTATCACGGCAATACTCTGAGTTGTCCAGGGAGGACTCTGAGCCAATCTCACTTATACCTCCAGATCAGATCCTGGCTGCCATTCGCACCAGTCTGACCTCTCCCCTTGGGGAGCAGATTTTGGCGGCTCAAACTGATGCTCCTCCCGGGAAGCCGGAGGGTAATGTTTCGTACCCGAGGGATTGCGCACCCGCCTGCTGCGTACCTACCATAACGCCAAAACTGCCGGGCATCCGGGGAAGAAACAGCTGTGTTGGGTCGTCTCTCGCTTATTCTGGTGGCCAACCCTCCGTGCCGACATTGCCTCCTATGTAGCGGCATGTTCGATCTGTGCCCAGAATAAGTCTCCATGGCATCTCCCTTTGGGTCTTCTGCAACCCATTCCCAATGGGGAGCGTCCTTGGTCACATCTAGGGATGGACTTTATTGTAGACCTCCCGGTGTCTCGGGGTCATACGGTCATCCTCATGATCGTCGATCGGTTTTCCAAGATGTGCCATTGCATTCCACTCAGGAAATTACCCACAGCGCAAGAACTGGCCACGGTCTTTTCCAGGGAGATTTTTCGCCTGCATGGGTTACCTAAGGTGATTGTCTCAGACCGCGGGAGTCAGTTCGTGTCCAGATTCTGGCGCGCCTTCTGCTCCCAGTTGGGTATTAGTCTCTCCTTTTCTTCAGCCTACCACCACCCGCAGTCCAATGGGGCTGTGGAGCGTTCCAATCAGGCCTTAGAACAATTCCTTCGGTGTTATATTTCAGACCATCAGGACGATTGGGCCGATCTCCTGCCGTGGCAGAGTTTGCCAGGAACTCGGCGGTCAACTCCTCCTCCGGGATGTCTCCCTTCATGGCCAACTATGGGTTCCAACCCGTGGTATTACCTGAGAGGTTCTCACCACAGGACATTCCGGCTGTGGAGAACCATCTTGCTGCCCTGCG